GAGCTCAAGGAAGGCTGAGGCTGGAAAGTCACTGACAAGGCTGTATCCAGGTGTCAAGGTATCGGCATTATTACAGCCAGGTGATGGATGAGCGCCATAGCAGAGAGGGAAAATCTCTCTGTGTGAGAGCCTAGCTCAGAATGCTGCCCCATACATTTTCATCAGGCTGATGCCTGGAACCTTGACTGCTGTTTACTTAGAATCCAAGTGGGAAATAACAGGGATGCTTTTCATGCTTTATAAACTACAGACAGCATGCAGAGACGCTCTGGGGGGTTGATTTAGTTCAAAGGAGAGACAAAGGCAAAGGCTTCCAGGAGCACCTGCAAGGAGGGGGGGTGGTAGAAAAATATGTGTAATAAGGCAGAGATGGAAAACTGCCCTCCAGCAGGACAGCAGTAGGAAAACATTAAGTAATCGAAGAAGAAACCCAGGGGGAGACTCTAAAGTACCTAAGATAGGAAAGGAGGAGGAAAATAAGTGGAGGGTTTGAGAGCTGCCTCTCTTGTGCTTATTGAATCAATCAAGAGAAGAGAACAAAGCATACTTTTGAAAGCTCGTACCCTACACTTTTACAGTGGAAAGCAACAGATTCAGATGTACAAACACCAAACTGTTCTTGATGCTACTCAATACCTTGTGATCAAGCCGATGTCAATAAACCTCTGGAATTGGAAAAGGGAACAAAGGGAAAATTAAAATTGTATATGTTAAGGAAAGAAGACGAAAAAAAATACAAAGACCGTGATCTTCTTAGAAAGAATTTACTCCACTTGCTCAGTTTACGTACAATGTTGACACAGCCATACCAGCTGGGGATTTACCCACCCGCTCAGGGAGAACAGATTTCTACCAACCAAAGGAACAGGTTAAACTCACTGCCATCGAGTCAATTCTGACTCACAGCAACCCTATAGGACAGGGTAGAATGGCCCGTATGGGTTTCTGAAGCTGTAAATCTTTATAGGAGGGAAAAACCCTTGTCTTTCCCCCTGGTGCAGCTGGTAGTCTCAAAATGCAAACCTTCTGATTATCAGGCCAATGCACAACCCACTGCCTAACCCGAGCTACTTAGAAAGCCAGGTAGTCACTTCTTTATCACAAGGACAGTGCCCTCAGAGGCTGCAAAGTTTCTGTTCTTGAACTTTTAATCTTCATCTACTTTTGCATCATAGTTGCCATCATTATTCTGCTATACTCTTAAATGCTACAATTCCAATTTTAAGGGGTGGACAAAAGTAGAGGAGGGTGACTGGGAGGGCATTGCAATGTGGTGTGTGTAAAGAACTTAAATAAAGAATTTGACCACTATATAGTGCTCTAAGAAACTTATATTTAAGAACAAGATCTAAGCCAAAAGCAGTTTCTAGGATGTGCAGGCACCTCATCTGCTTTTATAGGTGCTATGTATACACTAAGTGGGTGAGGTTCTGGACACCTTGTAATCCTATCGTGACCCGAGTACGGCCCTTCAGGGTGGGCTAGACCAGAGCATGTGCACAGGTACAGATAAGACATAAGAGCTCATGACACATGGAATCCAGGAACAGGAATGGGAGTGGTGACAACAGGAGGGCGGGTGGAAGGTTGGGAGAGGAGGGGTGGAAGGGTGACCAATCTCAATGGTCGACACATA